ACCAGAGAAACAACAAACAAGAGAGAAAACTCCTGTTCTATGAAGCTCACATTCTAATGGGAGAGAAATAATTTAACAAAAAACAAAACAAAAAAAGAAGCAAGATAACCTCAGATAAATGCTCTGGGAAAGGGAATGGGCAATATAATTTTGATTTTGGTGAGACTGAAAGTGATTGAATACTTTAGCTGGGGTTTTGAAGAAGTGACATTTGCACTAGAACCTAAATGAAGAAAGGAAACCAGTAATAGAAATATCTAAGTATCCCAGGTACCTGTAGTTCCTCCATCTGTAAAATAAGACATCAGGCTGCTTTGGTTATGAAATGTGTAAGCTAATAAAGAGCACATAGCACTGACCTAGTAAGCATGTAGGCTATGCTTCTATGCTTCTATATATGCTTCTATCGGTGTGTCTTTAAGACATCAAAGCCTAAAGCAGTGTTAGCTTTTAATCTTGTTAACAGCAAAATGAGTTACCAAGTTGCCTCACCAATGTGAGATAAAATTTATTGCCTTATCTCTACATGTTATTTTACAGGTGAATCCATCCCTTTGAATTACTCTATACCTGAGGATCTATAATAATGATTATTATCCCTATCCAGTTACTTACCTCTATATTAGCTGGGCAAATAGCACAGTAATGTTTCGATGGCCAAATCCACATTGAATGTATCTGAAGATTTAGTCCAGCATTAACATAATGCTCTGCATTTTAAGATATTTTAAAATTAGCAATTTAAACAGAAGTCCCCAGAGGCTGCGGCCTTGTCTTGTCAATGCCACTAGTTTGGTTACCCAGCTAATTCCATCAGAGTCATTGAACCAAGTGTTAGTGTGTGTGAAGAGTCTATGAGTCAATTGCCAGCACAAAATTCTTCCTGACATGGGAAGGCAGATGATCTCAACTTTTGAGTGCATACAGTGCAAATTTCTAGTTGAATGGTTCTTGACAATAGTGTCCTCTGAAACATAATGCCTGGCGAGGAGCCAATGATTATGCCACCATACAAATCACTGTGTATCTGACGCCAGAATGCCTCTGTGCAATGGTAGCAACAAGAGTTCTCAGTCCTGGTGTTCCACAAGATGTTATATTGGCTCCTTTATTCTTTATCAGACCCTGGAATTAGAGATTTTATTTAGACAGTTTTTAGGAAATGAGTGGTGGAGGGAGAGGAAAAGGGAAGAAAGAAGGTTGTAGTGTACTTTAAGAAGAGCTTTACTGTTTTACAATTCCCATTAGGACAAAATCGGCTTATGTTTGAAGCCTAGTTTTATTAACTGTTTAATAGATATTTTCACTTTGAATCTCTTGTTTAATTATAGAACTAAAATAGCTTGGTTCAAACTGTTAGCTAATGATCCATATATCATTTTAGTAGTTGCTAGCTTCTTTCAGAAATGCATTAATTTTGTAAGACTTATAGACTTTCAAGTGTAAAAACACATGGAGTTTTTTAAGATTAATATAGTAGAACATTTACAGTTGGTTTCAAATGTTACTTTACTGTACCATATTAGAAACCTAAAATTACCACAATATTCTTAAGATATATAACACTTCATTTTAATTTGCACTTAATTGTATTGTTGGGGTTAAAATAGATAGATCATACTGTATGAATGTAGTTGGTAATGTAAATGAAATCTAAGTTATGCAGTGTTCTATTCAAAAGGAATTATGCACTGGCTAAAGTATTTAGCCAAATTTCATCTCCCACTATGAAATTGTCTACTGATTTTAAATACCATTTTTTTTCTGGAAATAACTCTTTAGAGCATTAAGTAAGTAGATTTAAGCATCTTATTTGATAGGAATAGTAATTGCCCAAGACAAAGGAACACATAAAACCCTAAATGTTACTCACAACAAGAAATATACAACAACACTAAAAAAAATCTTTTTTAGAAACCAAAGTCACCAGTGCTTCTTCTTTTTGGTTGGTTTTACACTTAGTCAAATATTTTCTTTTCTTATAAGCTAGATACAGGCATTAGCCAATTATAAAAACCAAGTCTCTTTTAAATACTGGTAGCAATTCAAAAAGAAAAGAAAAAGATAATTGAAAAGGTTTCTTGTGGTTTGAAAATGCCTTCCAAATATTCATTAAACATTGAAGTGAGTAAATTTGTAGAATATGTTTCTGACATTGGCACTGGTTCTGTGGTATTTCTCTGATCAGATGGAAGTGCTGTGTGTTATGCAGAGTGCATTCAGTTCATTCATGCATAAACAATATCATTTTCATAAATTAAAACCTCCCCTGCAGAAGGAACATCTGTGCCTGCCTTTGAATAAAAGATGGTGGCATGTGAGTTACTCCTTGACTGACTGAAAGAATCCTTATGTTTTAGAATGAAGTTATATAGGCAACATGGAAGGGGGAAAAAAACCCTAACTTACAGTCTCCATTTATACCTTACACACACACACACACACACACACACACACACACACACACAAATCCACAGTATAAATTCCTTTCCTTGTTGTTTTAAAAGCTGGAATGCTTAAAATGCATTCTCTTATTGTTTTTTCTGTTTACTAAAGCAACAGATTTTAGTTTGCATGAAGATGTATAATTTTAATTATAGGTGAAATTGAGCTGCTGAATAGATCACATCAGATCTGAATGTTCACTTCACGGTCCCCTAGGCTGGAAGGCTGGCAATGTTCAGATATCATATCAGTATTATGTCTGTAAAGTAAGAACAGTGAGAGCAATCCTAGAAGCAACAGCTTGATTTCAAAATAACAACTCTGATTCACTTGGAATGAGATTACTGCATTTTGGATAAAGTTGAGACTAACTTAAAAGTATTTCTGTCATGTGATGAAGGCTGATGGAAAACATGTTAAAATGATATATTTTAAATTGAACTCAAACAGTTTTTAATGTTGAAATATTCCTTACTGCTACTGTCACAGCTTGACATAGCCCCATTGGCAACGTTATTAGTATGGCTAATTGTTCCCGTCCATTAGATTACTCACATTTTTCTGGAGCAGTTTGCTAAATGAGGTCAGCTTTCTGGAACCCCTAAATCACCAATGAGAAGGAGATTAAAGGAACAAGCTTGGGAAGAGAGGTAGTCATCCAATGTGGCATCCGAATCAGAGGAGGAACAATGGAGTTACTAATGACAGTAATCAGAGCACCATGGTAGAGCCAGGGCACAAGTGCCAAAATGTTATTCCCTAGGAAGCATTCCTGTCAGTCAGTACATCCAGAGGAAGAGAAATGCCAAACTTTTTTTTTTTTTTTTTTTTTTTTAGTGGACCTAACAATGGACAGAGTCATCTGTAAGTTCTTCCACTGAGTTGTATTTAGTGTTCCAAAAAGGGAAGGGACACAATTGGATCATCCTAAAATATATTACACTACAAATAGTATGTTCTTGAATACAAATAGCTCATTATCATTTTCCCCTGGAAAAAAATTATAGAAATCACCACAAGATGTTCATCAAAAAATTACAAAATGCCACTTCTTCTTGTATTCTTTAAATTAATTAAATCATTTCCTCCTGGCATTTTCTAAAAGTATATAACTTTCTTTTGCATAGCGCTATTGTATAGTCCTGGTTTGCAAAGTGCAATGGTACTGTGATAGTACTGATTTCCCAGTTCAGTTCAGGAATATATACAGATAACAAAGCCCTAAGAAAATGGTAAAGTTTTCTTAATAGGAAAAAACTATAATATAATCATTTAAGGGAATCGGATCCAAAAAGCTAAAAGTGAAGACACTTAAAGAAAAACAAAAACCCAACTGTTTGTATCTCCACCCAACCCCCCAGCCTCATATTCCATGTAGTGAAATATGAGTTAGGTTCTTTCATTATCTACAAAGAGCTGGTGACTCCCTAAACAAGATAAACAGACGGGAGAGTAGGCTAAAGTAAACTTTTATTTTATTCTAATAAAATAGTATTTTTTTAATTCAGCAAATAAAGCAACTATTATACTTAGGAATTATTTATACTTAAAAAATCACTTTAAGAAGGAATGCAACAATTGGTCAGATTTTCAATACTATTTTATTGCAACTGGATGAGTGTTTTCTAAATTGTGCATTACACCATAATATACAGGATTACAAACAAGATTACAGTACAGATTGATTCCAGTGGTACCAGTATCACATCTCAAACAGCACTTATTCTGGACTGCATTTTACATGCAATAGCTATTGTTCTAATTATGAATTAAATGGTTTGAATTTATTTAAGCTACTGTACTAATTGACTACAATAGGTATAAATTCCAACATTAACAACCTGATTAGATTTAGGCTCAGATTTATTACATGAATATATGACAAACCACCATTTGTGTGACTATGTATAAAATCATGCATTCATATTTTCTGGAAACATCAATAACTTCAGATTCTCTGTAAAATCATGGAATGCAAAGGAGTAAAAGACTAAAAAGAAACAGTGCAAATTGTATGTGATAGTCAAGCAGCTTTTGATTTAAAGAAGGGTATGTTGGCATTTGTTTATAATATGTATATACAAGCTTGTGCAAGTAATGTATTGGATTGATAAGTTTTGATAGGGACTACATCTCTTTTTTTTTTCATCCTCTTAAGAGTTATGGATCTGGTTTTCGTTTTAAGGAGAGGGAAAGACTTTAAAGTGAAATGAATTGCTCAAATTGTGCAATTTTTTTCTTTTTACAATTAGAGAGGAAAGAAGTGCTAAGGCAACACAATAACTTTCTAAGCACTTTTCTGCTGGTTTAAATTAGTTAAATTATTTTGTATAAATTAGATATAATTCTACTTTTCTGATATGTATAAAAATTGATGAAGCTGCATGGTTTTAAAATAGGAAATCCACATTATAAAAAGTCATTAAAAATTCTGTACAAAATCACAACAAAATAATTCAGCATGGGAAAGGTAACAAGTAGTAAAATGCTGGTTGAAAAATATATATTTATATATATTTTAATTGGCCCATTACTAGTTTAAAAATTGCATAGATCCTAATTATTGCTTGTGATTTTGTTATCCCGATCAGATAATTAATATGATCTGAAAACAGCTACACCAAATTTGTGGTGCTTTTTTTTTTTTTAAACCGTATTACTTTTTTAAAATAGAAGAGCTATAGAAAATAATACATAAGGTGAACAGGAACTTTGATCCCCTGTTTCTTCCAAAGGCAGTAACGACAATAAATACATATATCACTTGAAGCTTGGAGTATTTGCACTTTGCAGCAATAGTACCCAAAGGGCTGCCTTTTGTAAACACCACAGTCACTGTAAGCACAGTGGGTACATTTCCCGGGGATGGTGAAACTGACGGCCTCTAATCGTGAAAGATGGCATTGAGCTGGGCACTCATGACTCGCTCATGATGTGAATGGCTATCGAAAGACATGATATTGTCTATAGGGATCTCGCAGCGAGGGGCAGCGGCGCCCGAGAAGATTGATCCGTGGCTTTGGGCCCCTGCCAAGGTCGCTGCAGGATAGTGCATGGTAAAGGCATAATTTTTCTCAAACTCGGCGGACGGTTCGTGTTTGAAAGAGAAGTTGCCATTGATACTGAGCGGCGGGCTGAGGGGTCCGTCAAAGGAAGGGCTGGTGCAATCAGTCAGGGGGCTTTCAAAGAAGGGCTCTAGAGCAGCGCTGTAGGCGTGCGGCGGCGGCTTAACGTGGAAGACGTGGGAGCTGTCCATGGTACCATAGGGCGGGCTGGGCAACCCTGGCGACTGGTAAGAGTAAGGGTGCACGGGGAAGGAAGCGCTGGCGGCAGGCAGGTGCGGAGGCATGTCCTGGTTCTGCTCAGGCAGAAAAGTCCGAGGATTAAGCTGCAGGCAGCCGGCAACCAGGTTGGTGGTGGGCTGAGATAAGCCCTTGCAGAGAGTCTGTACGAAGGAGACCAGATCAGGGCTTTTGCCCGAACGCAGGATCTCTGACAGAGCCCAGATGTAGTTCTTGGCCAGGCGCAGCGTCTCGATTTTGGACAGCTTCTGCGTCTTGGAATAGCAGGGCACCACCTTGCGCAGGTTGTCCAGAGCCGCATTTAGCCCATGCATGCGGTTCCGCTCCCGGGCGTTGGCCTTCATCCGCCTTAGCTTAAAACGCTCCAGGCGAGCCTTGGTCATTTTCTTCTTTTTGGGCCCCCTTCTCTTGGGCTTTTGATCGTCGTCTTCCTCTTCCTCCTCTTCCTCCTCTTCCAGATCCTCGTCTTCCTCCTCCTCCTCCTCTCCCCCATTCCTCAGTGAGTCCTCTTCTGCGTTCATGGCTTCGAGGTCGTCCTCCTTCTTGTCTGCCTCGTGCTCCTCGTCCTGAGAACTAAGACATTCGTCTGTCCAGCTGGGAGGGCCCTGGGGCTGAGGCTCGCCCATCAGCCCGCTCTCGCTGTAAGATTTGGTCATGTTTCGATTTCCTACATTCAACAGGGGGGAGAGAGGAACAGAAAAAAAAAAAAAAAAAAAGGAGGAAAATGGTCCGTTCACAAACTACCTCTGCCTTCAGCTACCACTCCCTAACCTTATAGAAATGCATGTGAAGAGACATACCAGCTCTTTACAAAATGGATGCCCTTAAGGAAAAGTTAAATGCCTTGTTTTACAATGGCGTGTGTGTGCCCCACTGGCATGTAGGAGAGAGGGCAGGGCTGGAGGTGTGGGACAGAGTAAATATATGTTTATGTGTACGCCTGTTTATATGTTTCCTAGTGATGGGCGAGAGCGTGTTTATGGTGATTATGTAGCAGGATAATATGCGAAAAGGAGCGTACATTTCACTACTTCATGTTTATCTGCATGAGTTCAAAGTCACATCTCCACCAAAAAATGATGAGTTTGAAAATCGCAAATCTGTTTGTTTCCCTCTCTGCCCTGGCTTCTTGGTACCTAGCGATTACAGTTGAAGAGCCATTACGTAATTTACTCACGGTAGCAGTGATTTTTAAGAAGATTATACTAACCGCAGATTGAAGAGCCAAATGCATGGCGGAGAAAAAGTAGTTTCCATCCAATTATTTCACCATCAACGAAACATTTGGCAACAAAAGTGGGCAGGGGTCTTCCATCCCACCCTCGCCTTTCTCTTTGAGCCTCCCACCACTGCCCCTCTGCTGAATTTCCACGTTGTACAAAAGCGCTAGCTACATGGCCAGGGCTGGGGGCACCGCGCAGAGCGCCCTTCCACGCGCTTGGGATCAGGTGCGGAAGGCTCTTCTCTAATAAACAGCCCATTGAAATAGCCGCTCGCTCTTTATTGGGGCTTTTCAAAGTTCGCCTCAAACCGCTTTTTAAAAGATTGAGTAATTATAATGGTCAGCGATTGGCAATAGCGAAGTTGCCGCTTCTAATAAAGAAAATAAAAAGCCTTTAGTGAGACAACTGAATTTCTGGCTTCCGCAGTGGCTGCTGGGGACTTGGCTGCCTCCGGAGCAGTAACAGGTAGCAGGAGTTGGGTCCTCTCCCTTTCTCCTCCGTTTTCACTTTCTCAACAAAACTATCTCTCAACTCACTTATTTTTCGGGGTGTGTATACTCAAGGTATCAAGGTCCCTTTTATGCACTGAAAAAATAACTTGGCATTTCCAACGTGCATAAAATACATGCACACAAAACATATCTTGGTAACAAGGGCTTTCTTTCTTTCTTTTTTCTTTTTCCTCATTGGAAGAAGTGAGGAAGTGAAGTAGTTATTTGCTTTCAGGACGTTGAAATCACCGCTAGCAAATAATCAGAGTTTCTGTGCGTTATTTTTTAAAATCCATAGATGCCCCTATAATTTCCCCTCCAAACCAAAACACTAAAACTTTTTTTTTTAATTTTATTTTTTAAATTAGAAAGCCTGCGGTGGATATTCGAGTAAGGCAAGTCGAAATGTGTGAGTACTTGCCGGCAATCAAGGGGAGGAATGCCCACTTCAATACACATACACGCGCTCGCAAACGCACACATTCAGAGTAAGTGTAGGTACATCTGGTCTTCAATTACTGCTTTTATTCCCAAGCAAAGATGAAAGAGTTGTAATTACCTGCAGTTGTTAGTAGGTCCTGAGCAGTGATGGTCTCATAACCCTGGGGCCTCCGGATGCCGTGCCTTCTGCGTGGGGCGAATTCCTCGTGTCCCGGCCGCGCGGGCGCTCAGGTTATATAGCCGGGTTGGTGATGCTGAGCGCAGGCGGGGCCCTGGAGCCAAGCGGCTAGCAGGTCCCTGCGCCCGGCGTCTGCGCACGCGTCCAGGCTGAGCGCTCCCTTCCGCCCGCCCCCCGTCCCCCGCCCCTTCAGCCTTGCTCCTCTCCCACCCACCTCCAACTCCAGCTCCCCTCTCCCCCACCCCTACCCCCGCCCCATCTCCTTCCTCCCCGGCATGCGCCATATGGTCTTCCCGGTCCAGCCAGGAGCCGGGAACCACGTGACCTGCCCATTTGTATGCCGCGGAGCGCTCCATTCCGGCCCCTTTGTGGCCAGAAGAAAGTGGCCCATCTGTCGCCAGTTAGAGACTCCGCGGACCTGTTTTTACCCGCAGGAGAGATTAACCCTTTCAGGCGGCAGAAGGGAGAGGGGGCAAGGGGGGAGGGGAATTGAGGGAAGGGAGCGGGAAAGCTCACGTTGACTGGGTTTAGATCCGAGTGAGTGGCCCGCGTTGGGGCGGGAAGTAGGGCAGAGGTGAAAGAGGCCTAAGCCGGGAGACTGAGGCGCGCAGTGAAGCGTCCAGACTCCATAGGATGCCATGCCCAGACATTGGCCTCCTGGGCACCAAGACTTTCCGCCCTCTCTGAGTTGTCCACGTCTTGGTTTCCCCTGCTTGGCAGACGCTTTGCTTATTGGCGCCAAAGGGTGGCTTCTCCTCATCTCCATCAAACCCTTAAGAAAACATACGCCGTATAAAAATGGCTTAATCTGTAAACTCAGCTTTGATGCTAGTCCTCTAGCCTCTTTAACTGGATCACTCTCTCCCAGCCTCTACAGTAGCTGTCACTCTACCTCACCATACTTGCAACCTGGCGTGCCCTCACCTTCAGCTGCATCTGTCACTGGAGACCCCTCAACATATTCACCCCCTCCCCACAGAGGTCCTTGTTCTCAGCGCAAGCTAGTCCATGCTCTCTCTCAGGTCTTGGCTCCTTTGGCCTTAGAGCTCTCTATGTGAAAGCTGGGGGTATTCCTCTGATGCTTAGATTCTGCCTTACAACCAAGGCCATTGGATTGTTGCAAAGGATGCCCTCATCTGAGCGCTTGTACCGTGCCACAGGCTGGCACTCCCCACTCTTAGGCCTGTAAATAGACATTTGGTTCAGACCAATGGGAAGTCTCAATGGGAGGATGCAAGGGGCCTATGTTAAATGTTTCTTCTCTCTCCTCTTTTTGGAAAGGGTTAATGACCATGACTCCTCCAGACCTCAAAGATTCTGACTTGAAAGACCTCAACCTTGCATTTCAGGCAAAGACCAGAGATTCCAGATTAATTCCAAAGGAGCCATATTTCTGTTTAAAAGGCAATTCTTTATTTACTCATTCCCACCAAGGCATGTTTTACATTATATATTACAACTTTTCCATTTGTTCCCTATCAGTTACATCTCTGATCCTCCATTAACTAAACCCCTATCCCTCCCAGACCTGTAGACCCCTGAAATGAATTCATCGAACTTGGATTGCTTATTTAAAGGCAGTCGCTTTAAAAGCCCCTCAAGTTTGCAAACAGTTGTCAGGGTTGAGCAGCTGAAGCTGGGTGCCTCTGGGAACCAGAGGGGAGACGCAGTGGAGAGAGGAAGAGGTTTCTATCGAGATCACCGGTGTCTGGAAGGCAGTGTACGCAGCCTTCCCCATCCAGCACAAATCTGAAAGGGGGACAAAAGGGGTGTGCGCCCTGACCCGTTGCAGAAAGCGTGACTTGAATTGTACTGAGTTTCCAAGAGAAGAGATGTAGAGAGTTTTGCTTTCCTGCATTCGCTTGTCAGTGTAGGAAGAGCACAGAGGAAGATAAAAGAATTCACCTAAGAGCCTAGTCTCGTTGTTTACCCCTGCGCCGTCTGTATCATCAGTGATGGGTTAAAACTCAAGGGGCATCTAAGTTAACCACCTGAAGAGGCGGGTCCACACACTGGCGGCCAAGCTGGACCAAGTGCCCCCGCAATCCCAGCAGCAGCTCCACCGGCTAGCCCACCGTGCTGCAGGGATGTGCAACTCTCGCCCTGCCTCTTCTCTGTCTTAGGGGAGCTTCCGGGGAAATGTTGGCGGCGGATGCCAGAGATGGCTCCAGCTACCCGAAGACCCGGGACGACCTAGGGAATCCCTCTTCCCCTGGGAAGCGGAAACTTCCTCAGTTTGCAACTTCCCGTGGAATGCAGGAGATTCTGGGTGGAACCGGATGTTCCAGGCGGGAAAGGACCCGGGTGTTTCGCTAGTCTAGACTCAAATGCGCAAAGTGCAGGAATTATTAGACCCGTTCCTTTCCTCTCTTTCTAATAAATTCACCCCGGATCCCCCTGCCCGTCGTTCGCCCAGGCCTGGGGTTGTGTACAAAGAAAGGGCCACTCTGAGATGTCCCCAGTCTTGGCGAGGTTCTGTCTCACGGTGGCTCTTACTGAGCCTCACTGCCAACAGAGCTTGGGTGCAAACCCTCCTTCTCGCGCGGAACGTCAGTCCTCCAGCGAGGGAAGCTTGGCGCCTAGAGAGTGTGGCTGGGCCTCCCCAGGCGGCAGCCGAGTAGCCAGGCCGGGAAGGGAGGAGGGCAGATTACACCCAGATTCAGGTGCTTTTTGTTGAGGGGGGACAGGGCGAGAAAGTGGGAGGCAGAGGACGGCGGTGGGAAAGGAACGCTGGGAAAGGAAGGACCGAGGGCGCGGCGGGGCTCGGCAGGAGGCACAGTCGCCGTCCCAGCCTCCTTATTTTCCTCTCCCTCTTCGGACTTTGTTTCGACAGTTGCACACTTTTCCCCTCCCGATTCCCTCAGTTCTCGCCCGCTCTCTCCCTGCGCGCACTGCCCGTTGGCGGTGCTCCTCCGGCTCCGGTCCCCACTGGGCGCTGCAGGCTGCTGAGCGGCACGCGAACCGCACGCGCGGGTAACAAAAGCCGCTTTCATGACTCACTGCCCTCGAGCAATACCCCAAATCTGTCGCCCCCCGGGTCCCCGCTTCGAGCGCGCGGCGCGGGCCGGGCGGTCCCGGCCGTTAAAGCGGCAGCAGGAGCGCCGGCGGGAAGGAGGGCGGGAGGCTGCTAGTGGCCTGGGCGGGGGCCGTGGGGGGAGGGAGGCGTGTGCCACTGTGGATGGGGGGGGGGCGAGCAGGAGGCCGGCGGTCTGGACGAGGGGAGTGAGAAGCGTGTAGCTGGCGGCGGCGGGTGGGGGCGGGGTGTTCAACGTACTCGCGGGGCCTGGATAAAGCGCAGGGGCAGGGCCGTCGTCCCCGGCGGTGACCTGTTTCTCGCGCAAACAGATGCTTGCTCTTGCAAAGGGAGGCTTGCGTTCAATGAAAGAACCAAGTGTGGCCCGGGTGGCCCCGCCGACCTCGAGTGGCGCTCGCGTCCTCTCCCTGCCCCTCCCAGGAAAGGGGTGTTCTGGACGGAGCCTGTTCCAGAGGCGGGAGGTGGTGGGAGACTGAGAGGCGGGCGAGGCCGTAGGGCGCTGGGGCCGAAGAAGCTCAGAGCAGAGAGTTGTAGGTAGGTCTGTCAAAGGCCCGGCAGCGCAGACGCCCTTGGGAGGCCAGGGGACAATGTTCCGGGTTCCTTCCAGATCGCCGGCGCGGCGCCAGGTTTGCGCCTACGCCTCCAGGGAGGCCGCTGGGCGCCTGGGTCCTGGCTGGAGGCTGGAGCTGCCCGGGCTCGACTGGCAGGCGGCGGGGGGAAGCCGGGAGCAAGAGAGAAGCTATTAAAATGCCTCGCCGTCGCCCCGAGCGCAAAACCCGTCCTCCCCAAATCTCCTGGGCTTGCGGCATAATCTTAATTAAGATAATTGATTCATATTGCACCTGCGAGAACGGAAAAAAAAATTGATTCCAACCCCCAACCCCACAAATCGCTTAGAGCTATTGGATGGAGCACAACGCGGCTGTGATTTGGGAAGTGATTTAGTACCGTGCTTCCCCAGCTCGGCCTGCCTGGGCTCTTTTATTTATTATTTACGTTCTCCTGGTCCCGCCGGGGCCTGGGTGGCTCCCCTCCTGGCGCCTATAGGGCTCCAAGGGACTTCGTCTCTGATTTTCCGTCAGAAGTAAGGGGGTTTCCTTAAGCCATCCAACACCCACATCCACAATGCAAAATCAACGCAGCTCTGAGCATTGTGGCAAGCGTAGGTCACCCACATGAATGCCCAAGGCCTGGTGCGGTCGATAAGCTATGGGAGTGTGCTTAAGTGTGCGAGAGTGTGTGAATATGAGTGTATGAGATTGTGTGAATGAGCGAGTGCGATTGTATATATGTGAATGCTTGAGTGTGTGAATGTGTATGTGACGTGTCAGGGAGTGTGTTTGTTTTCAGTTATGTGAGTGTAAATGTGTGTGAGTGTGTGTTCGTGGGCGCTTCTGTTCTCAGGTGGGGAGAGTAAACGGAGGGCGCGTGTCTGTTTCGTGAGCCTTAAGGTACAGATTGAGGTCTAAAAGGGACCGCAGGGCTGGGTAGCCGACAAGCGCCTGATGTTCGCCAACCTTTGCCTTAAAAGAAAGCAACAAGCAAACAATCCCGGGTGAGTGGGTGTAGCTGCGGGTACGGAGAGCGGGAGAGCAGAAACACCGACGACGCCCTGAACAATGGCTGCCTCGGGGTTGGGGGAGGAGACCGGGCAAGTTCCCGAATTGCACAGAAGCCAGGCAAGCCAGGTTTAGAGCCCCAGGCAGCTTGTAGGAAAAATAGTTTCCTCAAGGTATCAGCACCGTGGACAATTCCCACTTCGCTGGCCTTGAATTTCGCGGTCCTAAGATTCAAAAAAAAAAAAAAAAAAAAAATCCTTTCCATCAGCTTTTGCTTTTTCCTATGTGCCTTCTTTCGCAAAACCATTGACCACCACATCCGAACTTTTAATTGAGAGAGCCCTGTAAATCTGCATTTAATTAGCCACCTTCTTTTCAGAATAAGTT